CATTTTTAGGGAAGAATTGAACAGATGCCCCCAAATATGAGACATAATTAAGAAAATTTCTGTGTTTTATCTACTCAGGAGAAGACTGATCAGGCCCTTGGCCCCCTCCAGCACAGAATGAAAACAGTCTAATTTCCCCGGAAGAACGGGTCGAAGGCTACCAGCCACAGCTGAACACTAGTGAGCCTGAGCAATCACTGCAGACAGCATCCCTACGGCATTCCATGGGAGGAATGGACGTGTACACACGGATTGTACTCTGGGAATGACAGCTTATGTCACTTATGTTCGTGTTGTACGCTGCTTGGGGACGTTTTCTGGAAACAGAAATTCAGATTTATTGAGTGCAATTGAACAACATAGTCTATATTTTATCGCGCTAACTGGGAAGGATGGCTTCAGATTTTGGAAAGAGTCTGGATAGAATCAGTGGCCCTTCCTCAAAAGGTTTGTCACCTTTCCCCAGGAAGTGGCGGCTAGTGCCGCTTCTTTCCATGACCTAACATGGATTCCCAGCACTGTGAGGCACTAGATGGTAACATGAAGAAGTTCGTTGCAGAATTGCGGGTCCGTGATCAGTGTGTGAAGAGCGAGCATGTTATACATCCTACTGCATTCTAGAGTAGGAAATGGGATTCACAGTTGAAATATATGGATATTTCAGCCCCCCCCCCCCCCCGGTGCAAGTGAACAAAGGACAGAGTGTCATGTAAGAGGCCAAGGGGCTGGGAGGTGCTGGTGTGGGATGTGGGCACACACGTGGGCAACAGATGGAGCTGCTATGGGTGCAGATTGGAAGGTATCTGGAAAACAGCTCTACTGTTTCTTTCCATGAATCTTGAGCAAGAGAGTCACTTCACCCCCTTGGACCTCAGCACCCTCGTGTATAGAGAGGAATAACACTCCTTGTCTACCTCCAATTGAATTTTAAGGATCAAGTGATAGCACAAAGCATGTTATAGAAAGAGGATAAATAAGCATTATTCGGGAAGACTGCAAGATTTCAGAATGCCCCAAAATTGAATTTAAATGAGTCATTGTCCCTATTATTAGAATAATATGAAAATTTTATTCAGAATGTTGATGTTTTGCCTATTCTTTTCTTTAATGTTTCAGGACTGAATCTATTTATACAGTTTTAAGAGAGTGGACATTCTATCTCTGTAATAAGTAGTCTTTGGCATAAAGAACCTGAAATCTGCATTCTCTTTGCAAGACCGTTTTAACTTTCTGATAGATGAAACCCCAGTGTTCTCCAGTTCCTCTACTCAATAGTTTGGTAGACGCAGAAGTGAAAGAGCTGTGTCCTGAAGGGGGTGGCATAGTGCCTGGCACGTAGTAAACACTCAGGGAACGGTTAAGAAGATAGATAACAGAAGCAGGATAGACAGATGAGCCAAAGTGATCTCTTCCATGATCACATATCTGAACTTATCATCACTCACAGTTATTCTGTCCTCTGGTATTCTTTAGAGTCTCTCCGCCCCTAAGGGCAAACTTTTTCCTACCCATTCTACTCCATCACTGCTACTGAGCATGTCCTGTATCCTCATTAAGCCTCATTCTTTCCTTATCATTCAAGACATTCACACATCATTTACTTTCTTATAGGAATATTTGAACATCATTCCTTATTTCGTATCAGCTGATTGTGCTTTCTGAAATCATGCTGTCAGGTGGGAGATCCCACGCCACCCTTGTGCCCTGCAGTCAGCTCTGCCAGTCCTCATGCCACCCCTTCCACATGGACTGTGCCCATTTTCCCGGGCTCCTGAGAGCTTCTAAGAGAGTCAAGAGTCAGGACCCATTGGCATCACTATGAATTCCTGTTTGGACTCAGCAATCATTTTATTCATCTATTTATTGTATCTTTTTATTACCATTGCTGTGCTTTTCAATTGTGTTATTTCCATTTTCTTTGGTGTCAAACTAAGTCATTTTATCTCTGAAACTACTCCAGGCAGCATCAATTTCAGGTGGATTTCAGTGTCTAGTTCAATATGCAACTTGTGAATTTAAATGACTCTGGAGTGAAATGAAATTTGCAATCTCAGATCTTAGGTTCTCAAACTACTAGGAATATAATTTAATTTGCTCATCTGGTGAAGGAAAGACTATACAGGTTCTGGAGACTTAGAGACCTGCTTTCTGATCTGAACTCCAAAACTTACTGTGTCATCTTATGCAAGTTATTTAACCTCTTCCAACAAACATGTAAAATGGAATATAGTGCATACTTCTAGTCCTGGCATAACTAATAGAGATTAAATATGTAAATGTGCCCAGCAGCAAATGATTGATATACAGTGTTCTTGTTTTCCTCTTCATTACCCTTAGCTTGGATCCTATCTGCTGGTATTTAATTCTTGGAACCTGAGAACCAAACAACGACAACAAATTGAAAAGCCCCAAAATTTTAAGTCTTGGAAAGTGTGCTAGTGCTAAACTCTTCCATCAAATTCAAGAGAAAGGAATACTTCACAATTCAGTCTAGGAGACTAACCCCATACAAAGACCAGAAAAACACATTACAGGAATTTAAAAAAAAAAAAAGAACTACAGACTGATGTCCCTTATGAACACAGATACAAAAATTCATAAGAAAATGTTAGCAAGTGCATTCACTCATGACAGAAATTCTTACAGTGTAGGAAAAGAAGGGAATGTCCTTAATATGATAAAGGGCAACTATAGAAAATCTGTAGCTAGTATCCTAATTAATAGCGACAGACTAAATCCTTTCCCTCTATTATCAGTGAGGGGGAAAGATAGTTGCTGTTACTAGGTCTACCCATTGGTACTAGAACTAGTATTACAAGTTCTGGGCAGTGCAATAAAGCTGGAAAAAGGGGAAAAAAGGCTTCATATTGGAAAAGAAGTAAAACAGTTTATTTTCAGAAATTATAAGCATTTATTTAAAAAAACCTCTTTTGGAACCCATAGCAAAAGCTACTATAACTTGTAAGTTTAGCAAGGTTTCAGGATAAACAACCAATGTAAAAAAATAGAGCAATCATTTTGACACTAGATAAACAATTATTTCTAACATGGCAGCAAAAGTATGAGCTACAGGGGCATCTAGGTGGCTCAGCGGTTGAGCATCTGCCTTTGGCTCAGGTTGTGATCCTGGAGTTCCAGGATTGAGTCCCACATTGGGTTCCCCCATGGAGCTTGCTTCTCCCTCTGCCTATATCTCTGTGTCTTTCTCTGTGTCTCTCATGAATAAATAAATAAACCTTAAAAAATATATGAACTACTTGGGAAGAATATATTTGACAAAATATCGACAAGACCTGCGCCCTGAAAACTGCAAAGCACAGCTGAGAGGAATGGGAAGAGATTTGAGTAAACTGGAAGAGAAATTGTGTTCCTAGGCTGGGTGACTCCATATGGTTATGGTGTGAATTTCTCCCAAATCAATGTATGGATTCTAAGCAGTTCTATTCAGAATCTCAGCTGACTTTTAAATTTTTTAAAAACATTGACAAGCTGATTTTAAAATTCAGAAAATGTGTGTGGCATTGGAGAGAAGAGAAACACATAAATAGGACAGAATAGAGTCCAAGATAGGCCTGTACATATGTCATCAATTAATTTTAAACAGTGTTGACAAGGCAATTCAATGGAAAAATAATCATCTTTTTATCAAATAGCACTGGAGCAATTGGATATCATGTCGAGAAAATGAAACAACCCTTACTTCATACCACATTTAAAATTAACCATCATAGAGAAAGACCAAAATATAAGAACTAAAATGTCCAAAAGAAAACACAGGAAATCTAATCACTTTGGGTTTGGCAAAGTTTCCTTGAAACGACACAAAAAGCATGGAACAATTGATCATAATGTGAACTTCAAAAAAACCCCAAAACTTATGCCATTCAAAAGACAATGTTATGGAAACGAAAAGGCAAGCCACCTATGAGGGTATTACAAACATATACCTAATAGGGGCACCTGGGTGGCTCAGGAGTTGAGCATCTGCCTTTGGCTCAGGTCGTGATCCCGAGGTCCTGGGATCCAGTCCAGCATCGGGCTCCCTGCTGGGAGCCTGCGCTCCCTCTGCCTGTGTCTCTGCCTCTCTGTGTCTCTCATGAATAAATAAATAAAATCTTTTAAAAAAACCAAAAATACCCATATACTTGATAAAGAAATTATACTTGGGGTATGCAAATAACTCTATATCTCAATGAGATGACAAACCATACAATTAAAAATGGGCAAAAATTTGAACACACTATATCAAGGACAATAATATGTGGACAGCAAATAAGCAGATGAAAAGTTGCTCAATGGCGTACCTGGGTGGTTCAGTAGGTTAAGTATCTACCTTCAGCTCAGGTCATGATCCCTGGGTCCCATGATTGAGCGTCTTATTGCATAGGGCTCCCTGCTCACCAGGTAGTCTGCTTCTCCCTCTGCCCCTCCCCCATTTATGTGCATGCACATGCACACTCTCTCAAATAAAATCTAAAAAAAATTCAGTATCATTAGTTATTAGAGAAAGGCAAATAAAAACCACAGTGAGATACCATTAACCATTTCCTAGAAAGACTGAAATTCAGAAGGTTAACTATACCAAGCACTGGTAAGTCAGTGGAGCAACCAGAATGTCATACATTGCTGGTAAAAAGGTAAGATGGCATAACTACTTTGGAAAGCAGTTTAGCAGCTTCTAAAACAGTTAAAGGAATAGCTACCATTTGACCCTGCCACGCCACTCCTAGGTAATTACTTAAGAGAAACTAAAGCAGAAATGTGGTCAGGCCAAGACCTGATGCAAATGTTGATAGCAGTTTCGTCTATAATCAGGGCTTGTACAAGGTGAGACAAATGAAACGTGTACAAACCTGAGAGTGAGCACCAGGTGCTTTGTTCTGTCACCCTAGTCTGGGTCTGTTAATACTAGTTAAAAACTGAAAACAACCCCAATGTCCATCAACAGGTAGATGGATAGAGGAACTGTGGTATATCCATAAAATGAAATACTATTCAGTGCTCTCTTTGGCAGCTTATCATAAAATTGGAATCATACAGAGAAAATGAGTATGGCCCCTATGCAAGCAGGACACTCAAATTGGTGAAGCATTCCATATCTTTATAAAATGAGTCCTAAAAATGTAATGTGACTATAGTTAATAGCACTGTATTGTATATTTCAAAGTTACTAAGAGCGCAGATCTTAAAAGTTCTCACCACAAGGAAAAAATTGTAACTCTGTGTGGTAATGGATATTAACTAGACTTATTGAGATAATTTTGCAATATATGCAATTATATATAATTGCGCTATACACCGGAAACTAGTGTTATATGTAAATTGTACCTTAAAAAAGAAAATAAATACTATTCAGCAATAAAAAGGAATGAACTAATGATTACTTCAACAACATGGGTACAGCTCAAGCTCAAGATAATTATTCTGAGTGAAAAAAGGCAAAAATAATACATATGATTCCATTTATATAAAGTTCTGGAAATTGTAATCTAATCTATAGTGACAAAAAGATTAGTAGTTGCCTGGGAATTGGGGATTAGGGAGGGGATTAATACACAGGGAAATAAGGGTGGTAGGGTGGTAGGATATGTTCATACCTTGATTGTATTGATGGCTTCACATGTATACATGTATCAAAACTGATCAAACTTCACCCTTAAATGTGTGTTGGTTGTATATCAATTATATTTCAACAAAGCTGTTAAAATAAAATGAGCCAATAAGAATTTAAGTCATGAGTCCTTATTGGATCCTGATTGGGAAAGTAAGAATCTTTAAGGACAATTGGGAGTATTTGAATATGGACTAGATATTAAATATATTAGGAGATTATTGATACTTTTCTTAGGTATAGTAACGATATCATGGATATGTAGGGAAAGGCACGTATTCTTAAGAGATTCATGCTGACGTAGTTAGGGGCAAAGCATGATGTTTGCAGCTTATTTCAAATAGCTTGGCAAAAACAAAATAACAAAAAACAAAACCCACACCCACAGAAAAACAAAAGGCAACAGGAAAATAAATAGATAAAGCAAATATGACAAAAATATTAAGACTGTTGAATCTAAGTTTTGGAATATAGGAGTTCATTATACTATTTTTTCCAATTATTTTGTATGTTGGATAATTTTGTCATTAAAAAGCTGGAAAAGTTTACCAAGTAGATTTGAAAAAGAACCAAATTATAAAGATAAAATATAATTGAATTACTAAACTCAATGGATAGGTTTAACTAAAGTCACGGCAGAAGATAAAGTTGATGAATTCCAAAATGAATCTTACAATAACTATCCAAGATGCAGTACAGAGGAAAAGAGAAAATATGAAAGAAAGTTAAGAAAAATGGAGAATAAAATGAGCAGGCCTATCATTAATCTCGCTGGAACTCCAAGAGAAAGAGAAGGAATGGGCCTAAGGCCATCTTTGTAGACATAATCCCTGAGAATCCCCACTGAATCCCTGAGCACATAAATGAAAAGCATCCACGCTTAGGCACACCATGATGAATCTGCGAGTCACTCACGGCTGAGAAGGTTGTAAAAGTTTCCAGTGAAGAAAAGTGACCTGCAAAAGAAAGAAGGATAACCGACTGGTCATCATTTACAACAGAAACTAAGCTAAAAGCGGAATATTTTCAGTGGATTGAAAGAAAATAAGTGTTAACCTAGAATTATTTAACCAGGAAAGTACCTTTTAAGAATAAGGGCAAAATAAAGACGTTTTCAGGTAAACAAAAAATGAGAGAATGCTTGCTGCTAGTTATGTTCACTGAGTGAAATTATAAAGTGTGTATATGAGACAGGAGATGAAGTTTGGAGACATAAGAAAGAATGTAGAGGACAGAATTAATTGGAATATTAGAATATCTATGTAAATTAGACTACATAAAACAGTAATGTCTTCTGCAGTTTAAAGTAGAATTAAAACACCAAACAATAATTTATAAATTAGGAGGAGGGTAAAGATGTTAACATTCTAGTTTCATAAATATCATCTAAAAGTTTCTAGGTTACCTTTAACAGAATAGAGTATATAACTTTCAAAGGGAAAAAGGAGAATGAGAGGAAAAAAAAAGTCAATCCAAAAAAAAAAAAAAAAAAGGAAAGAAAGTGGTGTAAACTTAGCTGACATGGGACACATTGAAAGCAAAAAATATTTCTCATCTTGTATTAAAATCAACACCAGAAGGCAAGTGCAAGAATAGTCATAGCAGCATGTTCATAAAAAAACAAAAAACAACTCGACATAACTCGGAAGTCTGTCAACAGTGTATTGAATGAATAAACTGTGGCACAGTCTTACAATGAAGTGCTGTACAACAGTAAAAACAAATGAACTATAGCTATATGCATCAGCATCAATGAATCTCAGATATGATATGAAGCAAAGAGGCCACAGAAGAATTTGGAAAAACTTTGAGAAAGTTGAAAAAGCTGGACCAACTGACCAATATTTCATTTATTTAAAGACATCTACAAAGTCTATACAACCATAAAAGCAAGGGGAGGATTATTGCAGGATCAGGAGAGCAGATACCTCTAGGAAAAGACACTCCAGGGAGAGGCATATATGGGTCTTCCAGGGTGCTGGCCCTGTTTTCTAGCTGTGCCTTGTGTGGTGGTTCTGGGGAGCATGTTTTTTTGTCACCCTTTTTATGTCTGCTATGGTAATCAGCTTAAAAATGAGATGGAAGAACACAACAGCCCTCCACGGAACCCTCTAAGACATCCTAGGAAGAGGAGTCTAGAAAGCAACCTACCTATAAACTACGAAGACTGGATCAGGAAGACAGAAAATGTGAACAGACCAATGAGTGAGGCAATTAAAACAGTAATAAAAAAAATCTCCCACCAAAGAAAAGCCCAGTAGCAGATGATTTCACCAGTGAATTCTAGCAAACATTAAAGTATAACACGATCCTTCTCAAACTCTTCCAAAAAACTTAGGAGAGAGAATACTCTCAATTTTAGGAGGCCAGGAGTACCCTGATATTGAAGCCAGGTAAGGATACAAGGAAAGAACCCCAAAACTATAGGCCATGATCCCTGATGAATATATGCAAAAACTTTCAATAAAATGCTAGCAAACTGAATTCAACAGCACGTTAAAAGAATCACATACCATGATCAAGTATAATTTATCCTTGGAAAGCAATGCAAATTAATGTGATACACCACATTAATAAAAGATGTTCATCTCAACAGATGCAGAAAAAACATTGGACAAAATTCAACATCCTTTCAACAAATTCAACATCTCAACAAATTGGGTATAGAAATAGTGTATCTCCCCATAATAAAGGGCATCTATGACAAACCCACAGCTAACATCATACTCAATGGTGAGAGGTTCAAAGCTTTCCAAGACCACGAATAAGACAAGGGTGTCTGCTCTTGCCACTCCTATTCAACATTGCACTGGAAGTCCTAGCCAGAGCAATTAGGCAAGAAAAAGAAATAAAAGGCAACCAAATCATAAGGGAAGTAAAATTGTCTGTTTACAGATGATACTGGTATGGACAGTAAAAAAAGAAACAATCCTATGAAGTTACATAGGCATACAGCTGTCTTTTGTGAGAATCTTCTAATGGATGACAACTACTTCTTGGGCTAAAAAACCTGGAGTTGACTTTCATATTCACCTTTTATAACTACATAGGACTTTACTAGTTTAGGTACTTATTCCTTTAATTTCTACTTTCTTCGTTTATCCTGATTTCACTTATATTTTACTGATAGAAATTGCTTCAAATCCTTTGCCGATCAGAATAGGGTATATACATTTCCAAACAGATTTACAAGTGGCTCAAGCTTCTTATGATCTGCCTCCAATCTTTTTTCTCAGCCTTGTACCTATGCTAGTCCTGATATATGTATGTTAATAGTCATATTTTGTCTAAATTTATATATATTTCTGCTTTGATGCAACTGGGTACATGGGATGAAAGGTAAACAGATTTGGTTTGCACCTTGGACTTGCTTACAGGCTATGTACCCTTAATCAGACTATTTAGTCCCTCTGAACCTCAGCACCATCATCTGTAAAATGGTACTTGCAGGATTATGTAAAACACTAAAATGTTAGCAGTTAAAAACAGCAGATGTTAATTACCAGTTGCCATTCCTTGGTTAGCTGTTGACGGTTAAATAACCTCTTTTCAAATAGGATTATCTGCCTAGTTTTTTCAGGATTTGGATGAATGTATGGAAACAAAAGAACATATATAAAGCGCCTAACAAAATACTCTAGGTTTTTCCCCTTTACCGTTACCTCTACCTGGGAAGCCCTAGTTCTTACCATCTGTTAGAATACAAGCATCTACTAAGTTTCAGTTGAGTGTCTTTCCTATTTATTTTTCCAACTGTAATTTATATGGTCCTCAAATTTCTCCATCCGCTTTTAAAATCTCTATTTATAATATATTGACTGCTTTTGTCTTTCTTGTCCTATAGCACCAAGTTGTTTTGGTGGGGAAGACATTGTTTTCCCTTTGTATTCCCTCCTAATACCTTGGATGCAATTGGTAACCATTATTTAGTACTTTGAATTAATTTTCCTGAGGATACTAAGACTGTTAGACTCCTTCCTTGATTGATAATGTTGCCTCACCCAACTCTGTCCTCCTGTTACTGTGTCACAATTTTGTGGAAGTTATTATGAGCAAACAACAGAAATAAAAGATGAATACAATATAAAACTACATTTTAATGTATTACATCAGATGGCAGGTCTTCCTCATCCAAGTCCCTGATCTGTTAGTGTCTGCCCCTCGAGAGTGTGCCATGGGGATGCTCTCAGGGGGATCCTGGAGGGTCACGTTCCCCGTGTTTCCTGCAATTAAACGAACACAGTAAACATAGATGAGCACATCTGAAGCACCTAGCATATCGGGGACCCTTGCTCTCCCCTCCTCTTCCACCAGCAAAGCTTTTTCACCACCTGTACCAGTTTAAAGGGCACCTTTCTTCTTTTCCTCATGGCTGTCCCAGGCGGTGGCTTTGGCTGGACACACACTGGGACAGCTGCCCTACTGAGGCCATGACGACCGAGGGGTGATGATCTAGGAGGATGATAGCCTGCCCTTCCTGCTCAGGCCATGAGGACCGAGGAGTGACCCAGGGGGACCCCGGCCCGCCCCGCTCAGCCCATCAGGACCGAGGGGGACCCAGGTGACTCCAGCCCGCCCCGCTCAGCCCATCAGGACCGAGGGGTGACCCAGGGAGACCCTAGCCCGCCCCGCTCAGCCCATCAGGACTGAGGGGGGCCCAGGGAGACCCTAGCCCACCCCGCTCAGCCCATCAGGACTGAGGGGGGCCCAGGGAGACCCTAGCCCACCCCGCTCAGCCCATCAGGACCGAGGGGGGCCCCGGTGACCCCGGCCCGCCCCGCTCAGCCCATCAGGACCGAGGGGGGCCCAGGTGACCACCACCCGCTCGCGCTCCGCACCAGGCCCGACCGGCGGAACGCGCATGCGCACGGCGCCGCTCCCCGCCCCCACCGCGCGCCCGCGCCCAACGCCCCTAACGCGGCCCGCCGGGCCATGGAACCCGCCGAAGTTGGCGCGGGTCGAGCCCTCGCGTTCGCTCGCTCGGGCGCCTTCCCCCCGTGAGGCCCGCGGGCGCTCAGACCCGGCTCGGCGGCCGCCCGCGCGCCCCGGGGCCGCTCCGCCCGCCTCCGCCGCTCGGCCGGGCGCGCGCCTCGCCCCCGAGGCCGGTCCCCGCGCGTGCGCGCTCCGCCGGGCGTATGTGTGTGAGTGTGTGTGCGGCCGAGGGGTGGGCCGCCGCCGCCGCCGCCGCCGCCGACGATGCCGCGGGGCCGCCCCCCGAAGCCCAAGGAGAGCAAGGCGCGCGGCGACACCGGTAAGCGGCTCCGGCCCGGCCGCGCTGTGCCGCTCCGCGCGAATATAGTCCCCGGATGCGGCGCGAGGGCCGCCGGGAGCGGGCCGGGCCGGGGGCGGCGGGCCGGGGGCGGCCGGGGGCCCGGGGCCGGGGCCGGGGCCGGGGGCGGGGGCGGGGGCCGGGCGCCGGGCGGGTGTCCGCCGCCACCGCCGCCGCCGCCGCCGCCGCCGCCCGCCTGGGGGCCGCAGGGCGCGGGCGGAATGATACCGGCGCGGCGCGGCGCCCCCTCCGCCGGGCTGGGCCTACTTTCCTGGGCCGGGCGGGCGGGCGGCGGCGGCGGCGGCGGGGCCGGGCCGGGGCGAGGTGCGCGCCGACCTCCGCCCTCCGCCCTCCGCGGGGACCCGGCCTCCGCGGCCCGCCGTCCCGGGCGGGGGGAGGCCTCCCCGACGGAGGCGGCCTCCCGGCGTGACTCCGGGGCCGCGTGGGCGGGCGGCGGGCCCCCGGCGGGCGGGCGGGAGGGAGGGAGGGAGGGAGGGCCGGGCCGCCCCGACTGCCGAGGCCCGAGGGGGCCCGGGGAGGCTCCTCCCGGGCGCGGGGCGGCTGCGTGTGAGCCGGGTCGGGTGTGGGGGAGGGGGTGGCCTCCAGGGCCTCGTTCCCTCGCTGGCTGGGGCTCCGGGGTCCCCTTCCCCGGGGAGGAGTCCGGGGGCTCGGGGGGGGGGCACCTGCGCTGCTTCACGAAACCGAGACGGGTCGGGCCTGGAAGCTGCAGGTCGGGCTTTCACGTGCCCTTCCTCGCATTTAGGAGGAGGGGCGCAGACGAGGAAGCGGTGCGGACTTGGAGCGGGACGCACCCAGCAGCCGCGGTCGTGCTGCGGTCGGGGTCGACCAGTGCCCGACCCGCTGCTGAGGCAGCGGCGCAAGAACAGCCCTGCGTGTGGGCGTGTGGGCGTCGTGGGCTCGTGGGCTCGTGGGCTCCGGGCTCGCGGCTCCCGCGGCCCAGCGCGGCCCAGCGCGGCCCACCTGGCTGTCCGGGAGCCCGGAGCCCGGAGCCCGGAGCCGAGGTGTTGGCTCGGGGAAAATGCAGGGCTGCGGACTCGAGGTTGCACCATGACTGCTGGAGGCTGCAAGGAGGCCCCAAAGGCCTCTCGGTGCTCTGGCTTCGGCTCTAGTTTGCTCACGGTTTTTATTTTTGTTAAGGAGCCTTCTGCCAAAAATAATGTGAGGTGCAGTGCGTCTCGGTTGCTTGGAAGAAGGCATAGGCCAGGCCGTGGAAAATTTGCATCAACTTGCAATCCCCCGTCTTCCCAAATGGCATCCTTTTGGACCTGGATTTTCAAGCCCCAAACATAAGAAGAGTTCTCTCTTACTCCTCGAGGCTATTCATAATTAAGTCTTGTAGCTTCTACCTCAAAAATGTCTTCTCAGTCAGCCCTCCCCCTTTCCACCTGGTGTCCCTGGCTGGCCCAGTCCACTGCGTGTGTGCACATGGACTTCTGTGGGAGCCTCTCTGACTGGTCCCAGGAAGTCTCACGCTACCTTAAGTTCATCACCAGTCCACCTGGAGGAGCAGTTTAAAATGTAGATAAAATGGCCACACCCTGGTAAAAACTTAAGGATTTCTGATTCCTTGGGGTAAAATCCACATTCCTGCAGGATCCTAATTGATCCAGCCTCTGCAGGGCTCATTTCCCTCCTCCTGTGCTCTAGCATTCAGTTCTCTGGGTTCTGGCTGAGGAGGCCACACTTGCGGTCGGGTGGGGCCTTTGCTGTTACCTATTCTGAGAATCCACCTGCTCTTGCTCAATTTCTTAGGTCCCAGTGCTTCAGCTTCCTTCCCAGCAGAGGCTTCCTCAAAGCTGTCTGAAAATAACTTGACACCACAGTTCTTCTCAGAATGCAGGCCCTGGAGACACACTCAGGGGTCTGCAGGGTAAATATTTTCATAGTGCTACTGTTTGGTTGTTTCACTTGCTGAACATTTGCACTAATGGTACAAAAACTATGGGGGTAGCATTGCTGGCGCCTTTGCACAGACTGCGAAGCTGCGGTATCTTCGTGTATTTCACTCAAAAACAACATACTGAATCTATTCCAAATAAAATGATTTGCAGGAAAACAAAACATAACTTACTGCAACAGAGAAAATGTCAGAGGCAGATACGAGGATCTACTTACCTTCTATTCAGCCAGACATTAAAAAGATTTGTAAAAGTGAAAACTCTTGTTACTGCTTTTGTGGAGAATATATTTTTCATAAAAACGTGTGTTTGTGTTAACATATAGTAGGTATGTTTTTAAATGAATAAATATTTTAATAAGTGCTCAGTTTTAATTTCTGATAGGGCAAGTAACAATATAATCTGTATAAACCTAAGGTTCTTGGGGTCCTCAATATTTAAAAATGTAAAAATCCTGAGATCAAAATGTTTGAGGATTATTGCTTTGTCAGTTCACTGTCTTAAGAATGTTTTCACATTATCAGAAATTCGTTTTCTATGTTACCATTATGAATTTTATTTTTAAGAAAAACCTGGAAGGTGCGTGGGGAATTTTACAGATAGAGGGAATAATAAAGCTCAGAGAGGTTAAAGTGAGTCGGTAGGTCTACCCATCTGGTGGCAGAGTTGGGATTTGAGTCTGCCTTTGAGTCCAAAGTGTGCATTTTACTATTTTGCCTTGATATATATAAAGCCCTACATATGGGTTAATTGATATATTCAACAAATATTTTATTTATTTTTTAATAATAAATTTATTTTTTATTGATGTTCAATTTGCCAACATACAGAATAATACCCAGTGCTCATCCTGTCAAGTGCCCCCCTCAGTGCCCATCACCCATTCACCCCCACCCCCCGCCCTCCTCCCCTTCCACCACCCCTAGTTCCTTTCCCAGAGTTAGGAGTCTTCATGTTCTGTCTCCCTTTCTGAAATTTCCTACTCATTTCTTCTCCCTTCCCTTCTATTCCCTTTCACTATTATTTATATTCCCCGAATGAATGAGACCATATAATGTTTGTCCTTCTCCGATTGACTTACTTCACTCAGCATAATACCCTCCAGTTCCATCCACGTTGAAGCAAATGGTGGGTATTTCAACAAATATTTTAAAGCACTTCCTGTGGTGGGTGTGCACAGCTAGGGACTGGGTCACAGAGTTCACCTAACACAGGATCTCTGCCGCGGCTCTTGAAGACTGTGTATGTCCTGTGATGGGGGAACATGTTTATGGCAGCAGATAGCAGACACTTGTAGTCTAGGGTTCCCAGAGAAAAGGATGTCAGAATGGAGATGTTAAGAAAACATTGCTTGGAGTCATAATTAGCTTAGGACAGAAGTACAGTAGTGGTGTCCTACCTCCCCCCCCCCCCCCCCCCCGCCCCGCCTTACCTGCAGTTTCAGTCCCCTGCGGTCAGATGGTGGTCTTAGTGACATCATCAGAAGGTCACCGTGCCAGAGGTCATTTACCTCACTTCATGTCCCAAGAAGAAGGGTGAGTGTGGCCCAGTAAGATACTGAGAGGGAGAGAGACCAGAAATCGCATCTGCACAAGTGTACTAGTGTTGTCTATGTCACTACTATTGTTAATCTGTTATGGATTTGTCAGTCAAGCTCAGTGATAGATACTTAAGCACAGGAAAAACCGTATAGACGGGGTTCTAAGCTCTGGTTTCAGGCATAGGGTGGAGGGGTGCCTTGCAGTATACCTACCTGTGGATGGGGGGCTGCTGTGGCGAAGGAAGCCTCGAGGGGGTGGTGTGTGTCGAGTACTTGTTTGGTGCCTGGCACTATCTTGGGGATAGGAGGATGATCGAGGTAGAGTTTTTTCTTTATTGTGCTTAGTTTAGTTTAAGTAGTAACATGACCTTGGTGGAAACCACACTTTGGGGACTTGTATGGCTTCCATTTTTTCCAGTGCGGTGGTACAGACCTTTTCTCCCCAGCTTGTACCTGTATTTGGCCTCCTGCTCCGTTTCCGTTTTCTGTGGGAGGAATATTTGTAATACTTCATTTCCAGAGAGCTGAGGCCAGCAGACGTTGAGCCAAATGTATAAACTAGTCCCCTCTTGCTCAGATGATTAGTTTAGGCCATTTTAGCTGTTCTTGAATGAACTCAGGGGCTCTCCTCTTCTCTCTAAGGGGATGAGACGACCGGGCTGAGCTAAGAGCGGTAGGATTCAGCGCACAAGGCAGCAGATGTGGTGCTGACAGGTTTAGAGGTGACTTCTCTGCTTCAGACTCAACTAGGTACTCCTGGTGGGGCTGAGGGGAGGGCAGGTTCTGCTTAAAGTAATAACTCTCTGACAATATCGGGCATCTGAGAATGAAAAAATTTCTTCGTAGAGGAGCAGCCTTAGCCTTCATTCTCCACCACTGAGCTTCTTACGTAGGCAGAGTTTTTAATATTTTGAGAAAAGTGTGTTGGGTAAACACACCAAGTTTAAAGATTTTATGATCCTGGAATCAAGTAGTGAGTTAACAGCAGTTCAGAATATTTCCCACAATAAAGGAAAAATATGTAAAGATTTATTTAAAAAAAAAAATCTTGGTCTTTGACCTAAATACAGCCTGGGAAAACCATACTAAACCATAATTCTTTGAGAGATAAAGGCAACTCAGCAGTTTTTTTTTTTTTTTTTGAATTTTTTTTATTTATTTATGATAGTCACACAGAGAGAAAGAAGAGAGAGGCAGCGACACAGGCAGAGGGAGAAGCAGGCTCCATGCACCGGGAGCCCGACGTGGGATTCGATCCCGGGTCTCCAGGATCGCGCCCCGGGCCAGAGGCAGGCGCCAAACCGCTGCGCCACCCAGGGATCCCAACTCAGCAGTTTTTAAAATAATGCTTATACTGTACCAGGGTCTTTATATTTTCTCTCTATACAAAGTCAGTGTCTCTGTGCTCAAGCGATTAGTGTTTTTCAAGCTACTTTTTAGTTGTAGAACTTTCTTACATGAAATGTGGCAGGATCTCAAGTGGTGGTTTTCACCCTTGGCGAAACATTATGGAATCACCTGGG